ATATATATACAAATAGTATCGAATTTGTTCCCCGAGTATTTTCCAGTGCATCGTTTGTGTCATTATCCTATTGATGTTTATGCAATTGTTGTGTGTATTCGCAATGCTCGTGTGACTGTCCTTGATATGTGCGGCAATGTTGTGCTACTGTGCAGCTGATGTGGTATGTGGTCATCAGTTCATACTCAATTCGCCCTGGTCTTTAAGAATATTGTGGACAGTGTTATAATGTTTATCAGTTGATATATTCCTCACTGTTTGTTTGTATGTAGGAGTGGTCTATGTGTGTTGTAACGGTCAGTGTTGTTCTGTGATTACGTTGATCTATTCCCTATTCTTTGTTTGTCTTTAGGAGTGGTCTATGTGTGTTGTAAGGGGTTCTAGGGTTTAGGGTTAGTTGTTCTGTGATTACGTTGATCTATTCCCTATTCTTTGTTTGTCTTTAGGAGTGGTCTATGTGTGTTGTAAAGGGTTCTAGGGTTTAGGGTTAGTTGTTCTGTGCATACGTTGATCTATTCCCCACTGTGTTTGTCTGCAGGAGTGGAATGGATGCATCCCAGCCAGTGCTGTTTATTGCTGAGGTTGTGCTAGTGTACATGTCACCAGACGCCAGAACGAAGCTGATCCGTTGGATATCCGATACTTACCCAAGGTATTGGATTAGACCTTTTGGTTTATGTACTGTCTCTATACTTATCTTTTGGTTCATGTACTGTCACTATACTTATCCAGGGCATTGTTTAAGGTCCTTCGGTTCATATACTTTCTTTATGCCTGTCTAGGGTATTGGTGGAGGGCTGTGTAGTGTATTTTCCTGTTATACTACCTTTGCTTCATTTACTCTGATGATTCATGTATCCACCTATTGTACCCGTCTGCTTCTGTGCTACAGTGCGTGTAAGTGCTTTAGTACTGTACTAGTTGGCTTGTTTTTACAGTCACGTTGTGGGGCGGAGGGCCTTAGCGTTGAGCTAGAACATGTATTGCTTGGTAAATGAACTAGCTCTACAAGCAATCCTAATCCCTAAACCTAAGTTTGTCTTCAATTTCTATTTATAGTTCGAGTTTAACGCACTATAAATAGATACAGGTCGCTGAACAGATTAATACCTTATCTATGGTACCTTACTCATATCTTCGATTTCCATTTATAGATCGAGTGTAGCGCTCTATAAATAGATATAGGTTACGGAACGGTTCAAATACCTCACCTATGCTAACTTGTTCATATCTTTGATTTCTATTTATAGATTAAGCTTGGCGCTCTATAAATAGATATAGGTTACTGAACGGTTAACAAACTTCACCTATACTAACTTACTTATATCTTCCAATACAATTTATAGATCGTGTTTGGCACTCTATGAGCCGGTGCTGGGTGACGATCGGTTTTCAGTGATCATGCGGCAGAATTTGAATGCACGGTACGTTTATTGTCTATGCTACTATGCATGAGGGTAAGATACGTTCTGAATGTACGGTACGTTTATTGTCAATACTATTACACATGAGGGTGCGATATGTTCTGAATGTACGGTACGTTTATTGTAAATGCTACTACGCATGAGGGTACGATACGTCCTGAATGTACGGTACGTTTATTGTCAATGCTACTATGCATGAGGGTAAGATACGTTCTGAATGTACGGTACGTTTATTGTCAATGCTATTACACATGAGGGTACGATACGTCCTGAATGTACGGTACGTTTATTGTCAATGCTACTACGCAAGAGGGTACGATACGTCCTGAATGTACGGTCCGTTTATTGTCAATGCTACTATGCATGAGGGTAAGATACGTTCTGAATGTACGGTACGTTTATTGTCAATGCTATTACACATGAGGGTGCGATATGTTCTGAATGTACGGTACGTTTATTGTCAATGCTACTACGCATGAGGGTACGATACGTTCTGAATGTACGGTACGTTTATTGTCAATGCTACTACCCATGAGGGTACGATACGTTTATTGTGCGCGTTGCTGTGGATGTGTGCTGCAGGTACCACATTCGTAATAACGTTCCACAAATGCACACAGCCACTTCAGCCTCGCGCATAAACATAAATAACTATTGCTTGCGGCTCGAGAGTTTTAAGGTTATAGGGTTTGGGGTTTGCTAAAACCCTAAGCCCTAAAACTGGTAGATTCTTACCCAGGAAGAAACACACACACACATCTCGCGGTTTGTAATGTGTTCGTGTATATTAAGGTCAACCTACTAGTGCGTATCGGAAATGTGCTGTAAGTTTGCCCCGGTGTAGCAAACCAGGTAAGATTATTATACAAATGCTATCCCAACTTCTTGTTTATGTGAGAAAGCCTTCGATACAGTTAGCAATATACTAATTACTATATACTACACTCAGTCAACTTCCTGCAAATTTGCTTTTATCTATACTACATGCAGCCAAAGCCCTTCAACATTGTTAATAATATACTAATTACTATATACTACACTCAGTCAACGTCCTGCAAATTTACTTTTATCTATACTACATGCAGCCAAAGCCCTTCAACATTGTTAATAATATACCAATTACTATATACTACACTCAGTCAAAGCCCTGCAAATTGACTACTGTCTATACTACATGCAGCCAAAGCCCTTTAACATTGTAAATAATATGCCAAATACTATATACTACTGTAATAGGCAAAGCCCTTTAACATTGTTAATAATATACCGATTACTATATACTAATGTAATAGGCAAAGTCCTTTAACATTGTTAATAACATACCAACTACTATATACTACTGTAATAGGCAAAGTTCTTTAACATTGTTAATAATATACTAATTACTATATAATACTGTAATAGGCAAAGTCCTTTAACATTGTTGATAATATACCAATTACTATATACTACTGTAATGTAATAGGCAAAGTCCTTTAACATTGTTAATAGTATACTAATTACTATATGCTACTGTAATGTAATAGGCAAAGTCCTTTAATAGGTGCACTGTGCGATCAGAGTGCTTTAGTTGAGACCTTCCGAGAGACGGGTTGGTCAGTGGAGTCGTGTTGTGACATGCTGTGTGAATACGACCACAACACGGATATGGAAGAGGGGAGGAGGTGAGTGATCTATGAGCATGTGTATATTTGTACAATACCCTGAAATACATACACACACACACACACGTA